ACCTTGAAAACATTATGCTAAGTGAAAGAAGCCAGTCACAAAAATGGTGGCTTTAAACATTTGCCTTTCATCCCTCCTACTCTGCATGATATTAGATAATGAGCAGAGATTAGAAAAATGGTCAGGATCCTGGAAATCATCATTTTATCTCATTTAGCATTGATCTATATCATGAGATTATTTCTATTTGAAAACATAATGTAGCCACAGAAAAGGCAATTATCTAAGCTGCCTTAACCTTTACATCTTATGTAAACAATAATAATTCAGTTTATAAAAAGAGCAACAGGTTTCTTTTGATAGGCCAGAGTTTAATTGCTTTCCTGGATAAACTCATTGTTTTCTAAATAAAGGCACAAGTCAATGAATTCAATGAATTCATCTCAGTTCAGTGAGCACTACAGTTTTTGGCTGTGCTAATGACCTATTTAGAGATGCATTACGTTTCTGAATTTTCCTCAGCAGTTGTCTTTAACCAAGGGTCTTGCACATCAATTGTCCCATAATCTTTAGGGCACTGGTGTGGGAAAGAAACAAAAGAAAAAACAAATTAATTGTATTTTGTAATTGGTAAAAAAACTACCATTTGAGGGCAAAATCGCTATGTGCGTTGATACTGTAATCAAAATGACTAGCAATGGAGAAGGCTTTCAGGCTTAGTGGCTTATTTTAAGCTTGGGCACAGAGAATAAAGTGTGTAGCAGCCACATATTTGGTTCTGATCAGAATCACTCAGGTTTTTTCTCTATAATTGCATAACCTTGGCCATAGGTCTGTGCTGCTTTTTATTCTACTATTTTGGGTGTTGGGTGCATCTAATCATCCTGCTGGGGTTCTAACACAGGTCATCTAATTTTGCAGGGTCATGGCTCTGATTAAATCACTATGGTATTAAGCACAAACTGGAGTCTCTGGGATTCACAAAAGCCTGCCCTGGACTCAAGCCATCTCTCTACCCTCCTGTTCTGCCACCCTGGCACAGTTTGCCGCTGCCTTGCCCCTGGCTATGGCCACTTGATCCAAGAAAGAAGAACTGGAACTGGGGCAAAATTTAAAAGAGACAAAAAGTGAAGGACATTTTACAAAACACCACCTGTCCAGTATGCCTCAAAACTGTCAAGGTCATCAAAAAGAATGTAAGTCTAAAAAACTCACAGTCTAGAGGTGCCTAAATGTAATACAGTTCTGTAGATGGAACCCAGGGACATAAAAAGGACATTGGGTAAAAACTAAGGAAATCTGAATATACTACGGAGTTTAGTTAGAAGAAAGTGTCCTTGTGACAAATGCACCATAGTAGTGTTAACAATAGGGAAACTGGGTATAGGAACACTTTCTAATATTCTTGCACCTTTTTGGGAAATCTGAAACCTCTCTAAAATCAGGAGTTGATTAAAAATACAGAGAGAGAAACGCAGAGACCAAATGGGATTGGAGCTGAGTATTCTGGCACTACCATTCTGTTGCCGAGGTCCCTGGAGCAGCCCTAATTCCTGTCCAGCCTTACGATGTTTCTCTGATTCCACAAGCTCTCTCAATGTCCTCCCCATCGTCTTCATATGCTGAAGTTACCCAGGGATGAATTCTGTTGCAACCAAAGGCTTTTACCATCAGGTTCTGTTCTGAGTCCTTAGGAAGGAGGTAGTGGCAGCTCACAATTTTCAAGGCAATGTTTGGGCCATAACACAGTGTTCTATAATTTTCATGCACTTCTTAACCAAACTTTTTAGTAGGCTCACATTGGAGCAGCACATATTTTAGCCCATCCTCTTCTCATAGCATGTGATCTCTACACACTTCTATACAGAGATGGCCCCATACCCACGGCAGACATTGCTAACTGATCACCACACTCATTCCCTGAGCATGAATGCAGAGATAGATGGTGGGTAATACTGTATCTTTGTATAGCAACAGTTGGTAACTACACTTACTGTGGTGAGCATTTTGCCATGTATATAATTGTTGAATCACTATGCTGTACACCTGAAATGATGTAATATTGTATATCAGCTATACTTCAGTTAAAAAAAAAAGATGCTGGTGGTGTCCTACCCAGGTCCGCTTTGTCGGCAAGTACTTCCGTCTCCCAGCTACTGTGAGTGCCGGCTGCTAGAGGCTCACAGCTGTCCTCATCTGCAGAGAATCACGCTCAACAAAATGAGAGGTGCGTCACCCCAGGCAGCCTGCAACCAACAGCTAGTGAATAAGGGGCAACTCTTGCCCTGGACTAGTAAGTCCAGCCTTCTTGCCTCAAGGTGGGACCAACTGTGAGGTGTGATTAGTGCACCAGGCCCCCCATGGAATCAGGCTGAAGCTAGGCTGCCACCAAGACCACATCCTGATGCAGCTACTTCCCCTCCATCTGGCTTCCTTCACCCCCTTTTGCCAGAGAGGCTTCCCTCAATGAACTCAGAGCATCTGAATCCATCTCGGGGTCTGTTCGGGAACCCTGAGCCGGGGGCATGTGATGCGGAGTCCTTTCTCAAGATGGGGCCTGTCCAGCCACTGGCACACATGAGGAGAAACCTATTTGACATCTCTCCTGGGGGTATAGTGACATAAGAAACAGGGCAAATTATTCCAGCACTAAAGACATCAACAAAGAAGTGAGAAGACTAGATGACCCACTAACATGACCACTGGCCTCTGCAAACCAGAGAAGAGTCTGCAGCGTGGAGAGTGAGCAGCCTTGTGACTTCTTTGTTGAGACACAAGGTTTAGGTATAGTTTGGAGACCTGTCCATCCATATTTCTTCTTCCTCTGGCCCCCATGCAGGACAAGTTTTTCTGCAGGAGTGATGTCTGCAGACAAAGTGGGAAAAGGTGAAGTTAAAGAGATACAGTCCTTCCTCCAAGAAGCTGTCCTGTCTAACAGAGGAAGGCACTTCTCACTCCCTCTGGCTGGCTGTTCTAGTTATAGAGAAGGTTCACTATCTTAACAGCAGCCCTGCAAGTGGCATCTGGGAATAAAGATGCAGTTGAGCATCTTTATTATTAAATATAATCTTGCTTTTCCCGTGCTATTGCTCAATACCAGCTGAGTTTTACAAAAAAAAAAAGGAATGTATTGGATAGGAAATGGGTAAGACTGCTAAAATTCAAACCCAAAATAGTTGTGGAAACAGATAAATTAAAACCGATTTCTCTCAGGCTGACATGTGGCTTGATGGCATAGATCTTGAGGAGGGTACAAACTCCTGGCACCTTGTTGATTTGTCATCCCTAGAGGGTCATGCTTATCCACTGGGCGCCCAACATGGTTCTAAATTTCCGGCGCTGGGAAGTGGAAAAGGGCAGAGGAGGGTGGACCTGTGCTTCCTTTCAAGAAAATGATCTGGATCATATTTCACTCTGGCTCACTTTCCATTGACAAGAGAGTTGGATACACAATCTCACCTATACATGGGAGGCTGCGGAAAGGGGGGTTCAATCTGGGAGTTCAGCTAAACATTGAGTGTTCTATCACTGTGCAAGACAAGAGATGGGCATCTGGGGACAGCTAGTGGAGAGATAAGATGCCAGGAGTGCAGGTAATGACCTCAAAGGAATGACACCATCTGAAGGAAACTGGGTTCACTTGAAGGCCTCACACAGTCCAACCCAGTGCCTCTGGAAGACTTCACCAGATTCTGTCTTCCTCTTGTAGCATCATGCCCTCTGCCATCCATTTGCTTGGGCCAGTGACATGTGGACAGAAGTGATCTGTGTTACTTTTGGGCAGAAGCTTTAAAGGCCAGCACATGGCTCATGGTCTCTCTCCTCCCTCTGCCACGAGACCAGTGATAGTCTAGACACAGGCTGCCAGATCAACCTCTGAACTGCAGGTGATGTGAGCAAGGTCAGCTTCCCTGCGATGGGCTTACAGCCCGAGTGAGAGATAAACCCTGATGTTGCTGCAAGACACTGGGGTGGCCAGCTTGCTGGTGTCATACCAGCATATTCCAGCCAAGCCTGACAGACTCAGTAACATGTCCTCCTGCCAGGGCATCTCCAGTGGAATCTTTGTTCAAACAGTACAGCCTGTTGACCTAAGAATAATGGTACAAATGGCTGCCTTTTATTGAACACTTACAATGGGCTACGCCCTAATAATGGATCATCATTAAACGTCTCTTGGGGCTGATAGTCGATTTACGCTTGGCTCCTAATTCTTTCCCTTTATAACTCATCATTTCAATGCACACATGTTACTACTATGTTACAGCTCAACCTGATGAATCTTTGCAAAATAAGCCCTACCCATAAATATGTTTGTTTTCTAAGTTCAGCTTTTCATAAATGTCAGAACTGTAAAATGATATCCTACTAAGAAAAATGTGATAATATGAATGATTTTATTGTTAATGTACTACAGACAGACCTTGGTTTATTGTGCTTTACTTTATTATGCTTTGCAAATACTGTGTTTTTATGAACACTTGTGCCCATCCTGAGTTGAACAAGACTATCAGCACCATCTTTCCAACAGCATCTGCTCACTTCATGTCTGTGCATCACATTTTGGTAACTCTAACAAAATTTCAAATTTTTCATTATTATTACTATATGTGTTACAGTGATCAGCGATCAGTGATTACAACTTGCTAAAAGCTCAGATGATGGTTAGCCTTTTTAGTATTTTTAAATTAAGGTGTGTGTTTTTTATGCATAATGCTATTGCACACTTAATAGACTATGTTTACTGTACAAACATGACTTGTATATGCACTGGGGAATCAAAAAATTCATTTGACTCACTTTACTGTGATATTAATTTCTCTTTAGTGGTCTGACACAAAACCTGTGGTGTCTATAAGGATCTGCACTTACCACTAAATGGACAGCTAGGATCCTTGGACTGCAAGCAGGAGAAGACCCAACTAGAAGTAGTTAAAATGATAAGGCTGTGCTTCACTGACTCCTTCAAAAGCAAGGGCAGGGGGGTCCTATGGTTGGTTCATTGGCTCTCTGGTGCCATTGACCCAGGTGTCATTGACTGACTGCTCTGCAGTCCTTACCTCAGTGATGTCTCTTCTCCCCCTGCTGGTCTGCCACCACCCAAGCACTTTATCCACTTATGACAGCATCTGGCAAAAGAAGAGAAGATAAAGTCAGTGTTGTCTCACTTATCACTTTCCTAAGGCAGGAAAGCCATTTTCTGAAGCCCCACGTGACCCCCTCCTGTGCCACACAGGCACTTTACCCACGCCAAGCCACAAGCAAGACTAGGAAGGCAACATCCTAGCTCTTTCAGCCCCCACTGTGGGAATCTGTGTGGCTACATCAGTCAGAAGAAGCTAGGTTGTGCTGCAATAACAAACTCCCCCAAATCTCAATGGCTTACTATGACTCACTTCATTTTCACACTTTCATAGCAAAAGTCCATGAAGTCTCTCAGGGATCTAGAGTGCTCCATTCGTACCGTGAGGCCTCCTCAGTCTGTACAGCTGGGGGAGAGGCGGCTGGAGGGTCATCCATCAGTTCCTCTTTATTTCAATCTGTAAGTCATTTATGTTACTTCCACCTACTCTAATCATACCTTGTCCCATGACCCTGCCTTGCTGCAGCAAGCTGGACAGTGTGTACAGGGACAGAAGAATCCCTGTCTCTACCATACTAGCTTTTCCTCATAATCGCCACTCTCTCTGTTTTCCTGTGCCCCTTCCTCCATAAACTCCAATACTATCACCACTACCCCCTAGTTTAAGTTGTCTCCCCACTCCTCAGATCCCCCATGGGTCCCCATCCTTCCTGCATCTTAATGAACACAGCACCTCCAGTGACTTCTGCTAAGTCAAAAGCATTCTTTTCTCCACCTGCTGCTGCTCTCCAGAAGAGGGAGGGGTGAGTTTGGGGAGCCGTGGACAGAGGAAGGAGGACATTGGGAGTCTCCCATTTCAAGTGCAGTTTGCTTTTCCCTAAAATGTCTAAAGAACTATTCCAACTTCACACTGTGAAAATTAGTTTCCTGAAGAAAACCTGTTTTAGCTCTACACAAGAAATGCAGATTCCTCCTGTTGACACTAATATCGACTTAATAATTTAGTTGGGTTAAAAAAAGATACAATAGTGCAATGAAATCTTAGCAAAATATTAAATACATTTATTTCTGTGAAATGGGATTATGAGTAATTTTAATTTTCTTCTTAACATCCAAATGTAATCCTTTAATAAAAGGGATGGGGGAGGACTATTTTGAATAACTCAAGCTTTTTTTTTACAGTTCCAAAGTATCTCTTTTCTACACTTGCTTTCTGGGTGACCAAGAGAAGTTCACTTCCAGCACAAATATCAAGTATAATTATCAGGGATTAGTTTTCTTGTGGGGAGGCAGGAGCCAGGGACAGGGGGAAGGATATTTTACCTGAACTTGGTGTTGAAACCATCTATGCAATTTTCGGTTCCCAGAAACAATCCTTCAGCCTGCCTAAAACATCTTCAGAGCCTAGCTGACAGTGATGAGGTTTGACAGAAAATAAAATTCCAATCATTTTTGTCCAGAATTTTTGAGAAGCTGAAGAGAGAAAAGAATCTCCATCACCCCAAGGCTTTCTTGAGCTGCCCCCTGTTATTTATGACTCTCACCATGAACAAGTCTCACTGTTTAAAAGGACAGTGCTTTGGAGACTGCTGGCTACAGACTCGAGCCCTCAGCCTTGGGCCACCACCAGTTCCAGCCCCTTTCCTGTCAGAGTGGATGGAGAACAAAATGGATTCCAGTGACAGACAACGCGCTGCGGATGGTGCTTCTCTCGGACAGACTAACTGGACTGGAACAGGTCCCCTCGAGAATGCCCCTGGGCCCTTCTCACCCACTGGGTGTGTTCCCTTTGAGCTCTTCACTCCTCTGAGGCAGGAGGAATGGGGGGATGGAGTTAGACGGTCTCCACTCTGAACAAAAACAGTCCTGGAGTTCTCCCCTGACATCCCAGCTCACCAAGCTCAACGTTTGTTGGCTTTTCTGACCATAACTGGTAATAAAGAGTATACACTCAAAAAAAAAAACAAACCCTCAGAGTCAGGTATGTGTAAGCTGCCTCAGAAGAGAAAGGAGATTTTTGATGGACTGTGAGCCACGGGAGACTCTGAGAATATTTGGGCCACACAGAAGCCACGAGAAAGAAAACAGAATGGGAGAAAGGCTCAGCTGAGTGCCACATTCAGGTTTGGTATTTGCTGCTTCTACAATAAAGCAAGTTCAAACTCTAGCCTTCCCTGGAGGCAAAGTGCAAAAGGTTGGCACATTGACTGCACACCAAGGGCATTTTCCTAGGGAGAAGATCTTTAGTGTTCAAAAGAAAAATACACTGTGATTTGACCGAAAGGGGTTATCACATTTCCTGAACTGCAGGCTGCTGTTTTTTCTTGGGACTGTGGAAACCAAAAGAAGTTCTAAACTAAAGAAATGGGAACCTTTGATGTTAGCATCGGGTCTTAGTTGTTGGGAATCAGTAGGAATAATAGGCCCATGTCCTCGGGGGAAGTGCTCAGTGATGTCAAAGCCATGGTGCACAAGGGTTCTGGAGACAAGCAGAAGCAACACTGTCCAGTTATATGATGCTGGGCAAAATCTAGGGATAGAGCCAGTCTCAGTTTCTCTACCTGTAAGAGTAAATAAGACCTGGGTATACAGTGAAAGCTGGTTGTTTCCCTTCTGCTTACAGTGGTACTTCCCTGTCTGTACACAGGTGCCCTTGGCTCTCTGTATACACAAACTGCCACATGCACTGATATCCAAAAGGTTTATTTAAGTCATGGTTTCATTGCTATTTTTTAGCATTAGTTCATTGGGGTTTTTGTTTGTTTGTTTTTAATAACTTAGTGAAGAAAGTTTGTCAGGTGGTCACTTATCAGTGAACAATACTGCAGAGTCTATTTACACAATCCTCCCTGGATTAAAGCATTTGTGGTTTATTTTCCTAGTAGCCACTGTGATCCCCATAACCCAGAAAGTCTCATTCATGGCTCTCTCCTGAGAGACTTGACAGAGGCTGGTTAAATATTTAGAAATTTCTCTTTAAAGAAAGGATCTGAAAATGAGTCCACTCAAGCTGCTGGAATGTGGTCCTCAAAGTGACATTTAAACATCAAGGTTGTAATTAGGCTTTGAGGATTTTTTTGAGGGGCCATGGTGATTTTATAGTTATTAGTTTTTTCAAAGTCAGTATAGATGATACCTGTTCATAACTGTCATACACAATTCATGGCTCTAAAGATTAAACATATAACTGAGTGTTCACTTTCAGATTTCAGTGAGTCATTTGTGCTGTTTCTTATGAATTCTCCACCAACTGAAGAAAACACAACTAGAAATCCAATTCCACAGCTAGACTCAACAGTTCCAGCAGATGCTGCTTTATTCGAGGAAGCGAGACGTCTAGTTGACAGAACCGCTCGAGAAGGTAAGAGGGGCAGGCCTCACAGATGGGGCACCAAGGTGGCAACTTAAGGATGATCACTGACTAACAATCCTCTGTCGGTGAGAATGGTATGCTGCGATGGTGTGTTATATCCTGGGAATTTCCCTTTCTTGAGAAGGAAGAAACATGCAGTCCCTGAGAATTTAGAGAGACCCAGAACCAACTTCTCCAGGTTCAGCTGTTAAGACCTGGCTGCCCGAAGCCAAGATGAGAGAAACTGAACCTCAGAGAGGGAACTGGGGATTCATGGGCTGAGCTTCTGACACACCTCCTGACACATAAGAGCAGAAGCACATGTCAGCTCTCAATAGCTCAGAGATGTCACAGGGAAAATTTCATTATCCAGAGCACCACTATGAAAAACTGCCTCATTGAGCTATTTCCATGTCCCACAGAGGACTTGAAGAAATTTTGCTCTATTCATCTCTGGACAATGAATTCTTTACCAGAAAAACTCTTCACAGCAGCAGGAAACAGCCTGAGACTGACTAATTTCCCAATATAAGCCATACCCCACTTCAGGATGAAGGATGATAAAGCTTCCTTGGGCTGTCACTTCTCAAATATCCCTGGGTGTGGACATCCATCATCATTACAAGATGAAAAGTAGAGCCACCTTCCTTATTTGCATTCTTTCATTGAATAAAACAGATAATCTCAGACATAAAAAACGCATCCTCATTTTTTCCATGGGATTTAACATAACTATTTCATTTTGATTGAAAAAAAAAAAGAATAGGCCATAAATACATTTCTTTACCAGAATTATGCTTTAAAAATGTTTTTTCACCACTGCAGCACAGCAAAATGTCTCTGATCTGCTCCTTATTGGGAAATAGTCCCTCTATGAGCAAAAAGCCTCCCTTAAGTGTAATTTCTTGTGTGTCTTCTTGAATATAGATAGTAGTATTCAGCCAGCCCATTGTTAGCCATTCTAGTTAGCAAAAATTGTTGAGCACCATAGTGTAACAGGCCCTATGCTGGGTTTCTATACAGGAATGTCACAGGGATATGGGATATGCACAGGGACAGCAAAATACAAAGGTGAGAAGGCAGTTCTGCCTGGTCATGTTTTAAGAGAATTCTTCCAATAAGAGTGTGATTTGAGTCTTAACAAATGAACTATTATTTGTCATTTGTTTACCTCCCCAGGACGCATGTAATAATGAACCTTGAAAAACACCAATGCCAATAGAACCAACTGATTTTTTACAAAGCTGCAAAATCAATTCAGTGGTATAAGGCGGCCTTTTCAGCAGATGGTGCTGGAGCAATTGGATGTGCATATGTAAAACAGGAAACAAAAATCCCTTCAGCATGTAAACCTCACACTTTCTACAAAAAATAATTCAAATAGTTCATAAGCCTAAATGAAAAACATAAAACTTTAAACTTCTCATAAGAAAACCTAGGAGAAAACTCTTTGTGATCTGAAGTTAGGTACAGAGTTCTTAGGACAGCAAACAAGATACAGCTGTTAAATTGGACTCCATCAAAATGTAAAACTTTTGCTCTGTGATAAATACTGCTAAGAGAATGAAAAGAAAAGCTACGTATTGGAAAATCACACACCTGCAAAGAAGGAACTTGTATCTAGAATTTACCAAGTGCTTCCCAAAATCAGCAGTCAGAAAATGAACAGCCCTGTTTTTTTAAAAAAGTGAAAAAGCTTAAACATTTTACCAAAAAAGCAATATAGGTAACAAATAAACACATCAAGAGCTCTTCATTTAGTCCCAGGCAAATGCAAACTAAAATGTTCAGAAGGTACCACTGCACACCTATTAGAGTAGCTAAATTGAAAATCTGGTAACAGCAAGTGCTGGTAAGGAGGCAGAGAAAGCCTAAGCATGCCTTATAAAAGTAAACATAAGCTTACCACATGACCATGGCCCAGCAATCCACTCTTAGGCATTTACACAAAAGAAATGTAAGCAGATGTCCAGTCAGAGATTTGTGTGCAAATGCTAATTCTAAGTTTTATTCATAATAGTCAAAAACTGGAAACCACCCAAATGTCCACCATCAGGTGACCGGGTAAACAAGTTGTAGTTCACCCACTGGCAACTTGGGTCGGCACCAGCAGCAGAAAGGAACAAACCATGGACTCCTACAGCAGCATTCGTGACTTGAAAGGTGTCATGCTGAATGAACAAAAGCCAGATGCCAAAGACTACATACTTTGTGACTCCCTCCACAAAACATTCTAGAAAAGGAGACCTCACAGTGAGAAAAAGAAAAGCAGCAGTTGCCAGGGGCCAGAGGGGAGGGCGAGATGGCCTGCAGCAGGGCTCAGAGGAATTTTTGGGGTGGCAGAAATGGGGTAGCATAATTACAGTGGTGGTCACATGACTATATCCATTTGTCAAAACTCATCAAATTGTACCTAAACTAATTCCCCACTAATTTTATTGCATGTAAATTATACCTCAAAAAGGCTGATATTTTAAAAAATCAAAGGGAGGTAAAAACTCATACCTGAGGCCAAGAAATTTGGAAAAGGCACAGCAACGGAAAGATTTGCTCTAAGAGATACCAAAATATACTCTAAGGTTATCATGATTTTAAAAGTGTGTTGCGGCACTGCAACACACAACTAGATCACCTGACATAAAGAGTCCAAAATCAGATCAGCATACATACTTAGCAAATGATATAGGCAGCAATTTACATTAGTGGGGGAAAAAATGGACTCTTGAAGTAGTGGAATTGAAATCTGGATTCCATTTGGAAAAAGAATCAGCTTAGCTCCATCATTCACACCATTCTCAAAAATTAAATCTTAATTGGCTAATTGATCATTGACCTAGTTGTGAAGGCTCACTCCATTGATTTCATTACCCCATTAAATGTTTAGGAGACCACTTAGCGGGTTACGGTAGGGTCTCACTGTAAACAAGAAGAATTCTACCCTACACCCAGACTGATGGTAGTCACGCCTGCCTTCTCCTGTGGGGGAGGTGGGGGTGCGCTATTCACTACAGCACACAGAAGGAGGCAGAGAGACGCAAAGTCCCTGCTGGCTCTCATGAGACGCTAGAGGGTGAGCCCCGAGACCCGAAGTGAACAGATGACGGCAGAGGGTTTTAACATCACCCGGTGAGGCGGGAATAGCTACAATTCTGTCTCTTTGTAACAGGAGGAATTTTTCAGAAGTCCCTTCAAGGAGCAGAAGGGAGGCTGCAGCTTGGGATGGAGGAAGCCAGGGAAGTATTCCGGGTGGTAGGTTAGCCAAAGGCCTTCTGCAGACAAGGAGGGCTAATGGCTGATACTCGGCGTTAAGCTGTTGGTGTCCTCCAGAATGAATTTCCCTCTGTCACCTCAAGCCGTTTGTAAAGACTCCTCACGCCCAAATATCTTGGCTGGGTCATCTTGGGGAAAATGACAGAGTGCAGGAAAAGTTCTTCTCCCCTATTCCTGACACTCCTTTCCTGCACACTTAGCCTAACATGGATGTCACTTAGCATAACGCAGGCCTCTCTCTGGACCCACCTACAGTGACAACGTAATCGTTTGTTGGAAAGAGTTACCAGGTCACATCCCACGGCCCTGGCTCCCTCCTTGTCCGTTAGACCCAGCCTGATGGAGATCTGGGACCCATGCCATTTGGTCTGTTCCTCCTGAAGGTCAGATTGACAGGCCTGTGTCTGACCCCATGGTTTCTATTAGGAAACGCATGACTGAGCCTGGGGGCCAACTCTCCTTCCCTTTTTTCTTGTCATTGGTTACTTCAGGATTCAGGCAAGGAGGACAGGATGTAATTTACTGAGCTCCCCAAACCCCAGCAAGGGCTTCATGTAAAATAAAAGCCTCAAGAGTCATCCAAGTAAACAGCAAACCCAGGGCAGGCTCCTGTGGGAATGTTCCAGAACACAGAGTTGAGGAAATTTTCCTTCTCTTTGATAGTCTTTGATTCTTGTTCTAACTCATTCACGTTGTCTCCAGGGTCCTGGCAGACCCTTTCCAGAGTCTTCTCTCTCAGGAACTTGCCTCAAATTTCCAGCGCAGCATCTGGAGCTGTGCAAAGAGACCTAAGCAGTGTGGGCCACAGCTGCCGCCAAGTGGATAGAGTGACCGCTGAGGCGACAGGCAGAAAGGGCCTTTCTCTGACACTTCTCCCAAAACCGTGCTGCTTTGGCTCCAAATGGCAGAAGTTTCTTTGTTTGGTTTTGGATTTTTGGCGGGGGTGAAGAGGGTGCAGAAGAAAAAGGCGTAAGTTGTTTTTAATAATAAAAAGGCAGTCAGTCATGGAGGATGTCTGGCTCCAGCCCAAACAAAGCTTATGGGAAACACTCCATTCTGAGCAAGCCCAAAACCATTCCCAGTAGCTCCAGCCAGCACCAATTACGTCGCCCTCACTTTGGCACTCTGCCTGTCGCCAGTGCGAGGCTTGGAATCGTTGAGTCATTGGGTCATTGAGTCCACTCACCTCTACCAACCCTTCCCACCTTGCACATGGGAAACAGACTTGGGAGATGACCTCTCTTACCCACTTGGTAAGCAGTGGCAAGACCCAGCCTGGAAGCCCAGACTCCAGCTGCCCTGGAGGAGGGTGAGCTCCTTGATGACATAGGCCTGGCGTCTCCTAGGAAGAAGAGGAGAGGACCAACATTGCAAAAGAACCCACTGTGTTTCCATCACTGGGCCAGGGGTATTGCTAGGGTAGGTGACTTTGGGCCTGTGCTCCCAGCCTCTTCATTGGAGGGCACTGTCACAGGCCAGACTGCATATCACAAGCAGCTCACAGGCTGGAGCCCGAACCCCCAGGACCTCAGCATGTGATGTCTTTGGAGATGGGGTCTTCAAGAAGGTAACTAAGTCACAATGAGGCCATGTGGGTGGGCTCTAAGCCAACAGGATTGGTGTCCCTATACGAAGTGGAGATTAGGCGCCAGACACACAGACGGAAGGCCACATGGAGACACACAAGATGGCGGCCATCTGCAAGCTGAGGAGACAGGCCTCAGATGAGATGAAATCTGCTGACATCTTGATCTCAAATTTCTAGCTTCCAGAATCATGAGAAAACAATTTCTGTTGTTTAATCCACCCAGTCTGTGGGACTTTGTTATGGCAACCCTAGCCGATTAATACAGGCATCCACCCCCATCCAACCCATGCTTCTGCACCAGACCCCTGCCCTCTGGCTGTTGCTTACTGAGCCACACAGACTCGGTTTCAAGAGCAAGAATTGAGAGTCACAGGGAGCAGCCCTGGATGCAGAATCTTGTCTCTAGGGACACAGGTGCAGAAGATACTCCTACTGCCAGGACACCCCAGATCAGGCCTTGCCCTCCCTGTGGCCCCCAGGCTTCACTGCTCAGTGAATTCCAGAAGAAACCCCAACACCCTTCTAACACCCAACTCCCTTTCTTGGTTAAACTTGGTTAAAGTGTGTTTTGTGCCTTGCAACTGGAAGGATTTTAACCATGACCTTTAGGTAGGTTATCTCATGCAGCTTAATGTTACCCTTGGTGTTAGTGCCCCATCTTAAGATGAGGAACTGAGATTCCATCCCATTGTGAAGATGGCCGAAGGTTGCAAGGTGGCAGAACCAGGATCTATCCTCATGCTCTTTCCACTCTCCACACTGTTCTTCACTGTACATCTCTTTGGTGTGCCCCTGCAGTGCTCAGCTAGGGGACAGGCATATAGTAGGTGCTCAATAAAAGTTTTTTCAATCAAGTTGAATACATGGACATATGTTCCACTGACAAACCACACATAGCTGAATATACAGCCCATTCACACATTTGGAACCGAAGGGAAATGCAGCTCATGATAAATTCATTCACCTTTCCACCCTTCTCCATTCAGACGGAACGAGGTTGGCAGTTGATCTACTGATCCCCGGCATGAAATGCAACTCTCTAGTTCATGTGGCAACACCAAGACATAGTTTGGGCCCCACTGACTTCACAAGTCCTCTCTGGCTCATCCTGTATGTATGATGTTTATTCAACCTATGGCCCAGGGCAGCTACTTCCCGACAGAACTTCATATTCTCCAAAAGGAAAGATGTGAACCCTGAGTCTCTCTTTCTTCATCCCCCTCCCTCATGTGTCTTATAGCAGAAAGATATAAACCACCCTTTGTTCAGGACAGTACGCTTCCCTTACACAGGCTTAGGAAGTTACAGGAATCAAGAAGCAAGGAAAAAGATAAAGGGTTTGGCATCTGGGTATTTTTCTCTTCTGTCTAAAAATAAAATTACTTTTCCCCTCTTGCTTTGGAAAGCCCCCAAAATAAATCCAAGATCACTTGCATAGCTGTCATTACACTTCCCAGGCTGACCAGGACTCCAGACTTTGCTGGAGAGAGAAAGATGGTTGATATGGCCTTACCATCTTGTACTTCAACACGAGGGACTAAAGATTGGGAAGGGTATGCTGTTCCCTTACCGCAGCCTCACAGAGCAATGAGGGAGCAGTTCATTTTTCTCTGGCATTTTACATAAAAGAGAGACTGAGCGTGGGGTCCTTTTCCCCACCATGCCACCCTGTACAGAACCCTCCGTAGGATTTGCTGCATCTCCTTATCTCCCATATGCTAAAACAGTATTGCTGGGTGAAGAAAGACACAGTATAAATGCAATAAAAATGCTGAGCAGGCACTCATTAACAATGTGTGTTTCTAGTATATGGAAGCCATGACTAACTGTTTTCGAGGGCGCCGAAAGGAAGAAGCATAGACATGCCTTCATCAAAGGAAAAAACACACAGCTTGCCGGTCAGAACTCCAAGTTTAGGTGGCAGTTTACAAGGCAATGTGTTTGGGGAGTTTTCATCTAAGCCTCTCGACCACTCTGTGAGGTCTCATTTAGGCCGCTCCATTTCACAGAGGAAAGAACCAAGGCTCAGCAGATAGCTGCTTCCTGACAGAAAGGAGCGAGGCAGAAACAAAAGCCCCATCTCTGACCTCAGACTTGACATCCTCCCCCTTGCGTTACACCCAACACGTGTGAGCCACCAGCGTGGATGGGAGTCACCAGCCCCCAACGTGTGAACCTGGTTAAGCCTTAATTTTCATCCCAATTATTTTTTCAAAAGTGAAAATGTCTAAAATACTGTGTATTATCCTAATTATACAATAAAACACCTGTAAATCAAATTCTAAAAATATATATATTCTGTACCAACCAGTCCTCCCTTTCCCCACATAAAACCCCTGAAGTCATTTACAGTTGCTTCAATTACTACGTTATTCAGTCACCTTTATAGACATACCCACAGCCGGCAGATCCCATTTCCCGTGTTCACCAGCCCCCCTACCCTGATGACCCAGACTGCCAGGGCCGAGCGCCCCCGCAGCCCACGGGACCCCCAGTCTCCCCTGCCCCCAGTCACTCTCAGATCCCCAGGGCTCACACAGGGGCCACCCCCAGAGCTGCCAGGCAGCTGCCTGTCCTTCTCCAGCTCTGGCCCCCTGTGGCTGTCTTCCAGGTGCCTCACCCTAAATCCGAACCACCACTTCCCCTTAAGCGCCTCAGCCCGGAGTCTAGGAGGCTGGAAAAATGACCTCGCATCTCTCAGCTGCCAAATGAAGTGTCTGTATATCTCTTCTTCTTGAACTTAATCATCTAAGAGAATAAAGTCGAATAAAATCTACCCCTCCCTTTATGATTTGTCAGCAGTTGAAAAAATGAAGTCATCAGATGAAACAGAAACTTGGTATTTGAAAGCAACCCCAAAAGTTAGCTATTTCCACCAAACCAATGCCTTTTTCCAAATTGTTTGCTGAAGACAGGAGACTGTTTCTAGGTGCACGAGGGATTCATTACTCTCAGGAAGTGCTCGTGTTTTCCTGTTTATGGCCCATAATAGAATGCTGCCTCTATCAGGTACTCTAGGTCTTTCTTTGGACTTAAATAGCAACTCAAATAAAAGTCAGTTTTACTAGAAGGACTTCCTTTCTTCCATATTTTCATCACTATAATTTTAAAAAGTGGGGAAATGTACCAGTACATTGACTTGGTCAGCATTACATATACTTAAACAGTGGGGAGAACTTAGAATAAGTGCAACAGAGATATCTACAGTTAAGCAAACAAAAGTCTTAAAAACCCAGCCCTTGCCCAGCTCTCCTCGAGCAGCGTAGGCATACTCTTACCCCTTGGCTCCAGCACATCCGCGCCCCCACCCCCGAAATGCCCTCCCCTTGCTCCCTTTCTGAACCAGGAGGACCTCCTGCCACCCTGAGTTCAAGTGTTTGGGCCTCTCCTGGGAAGAAACACATGTTGACCTTACAATGCACCTTTCAGGGAACTTAAGCTCATTGTCTTCACATTTCTGGGTTTACTCCTTTCCTTCTAACCCAAGACATTTTCCTTCGTGGGTGGGAATAAGCGTTACCTTCTTTCAGGGCTCCGAGAATTATTGTGAAATTCCAATTTTTGCACACCACAACACTGGCAAGGTGCAGTGCCAAGATCTTCCGTGGGTGGGGGGTGGTCCTCAGCCTGTCCCCCCTCTGTGTCCCAGGCCGCTGGTTCATCCAGCTGGTGATTGTGCAGAGAGCACCTACTATATGCGCACATCACCCCCAAGCAAAGGAGAAGGAGAGGACAGGAGCCTTGGGCCTCCCAGCCAGAGGGGAGATGTCCTTCAGAACACCGTGTGAATGGCCTCCCTCTGGGGCCACCACCAGAGCTGGGCACTATCGAGGAGAGGGTCAGAGGCACCGAAGGCTCCAGGCCCCTTCATGTTTGGTCCCGGGATTGTCCGCCTTGTTTTTCCACCATCTGGATGAGTGACAGGTATGTGGCAGGCACGCATAGTTCCCAGCTGTCAGGTTGTCTCCTTGGGGTTAATTCAGGCTTGCCCCTGGGAGACCCTCTCACAACTGGAGCAGGAATTCCCAGGATTCTTTATTAAAATGTTTTCCCCAGACTTCCCTTCCAACAGCCATGTTATCTCTGACAGCAGGCTGGCCTCTGTCTCTCTCAGACTGGACAGGATCAGGCCCAAATCACTCTCCAGTTTCAGAGTAGACTCCAGGGTGCTGGGAGGGTGAGGGAGCGAGGGAACGCACTACCCACCCCACCCCAGGATCACGCAGCGAGGGTAACTTCCTTTGTAAGCCGCAGGCTCCCCCTACCGTTGGTTTGTGGTAATGCAGAAGGAGGTCGGACGATGCCTCCTTAGCCTGATCCACTTCTAGTAGCTTTTCCTGGAAGCGCCGCCCATCAGCACCTACAAGGTCCAAACGACCCATCGCTTTTTTATTGGTTCATGAAAATCCGTTTTCCTGGAGGATGTCCAAAAAGCGGAAGCACTTTTACTTGATTTAATAGATTTTTTTTAAATTGCATTTTGAAAAGAAAATAACTACAAAGATAAACTGCTTTCTAACTTTAAATGTTTTTCATATCTTTACCCTATTTAGTCCAAAGACTTGGAAAGCTCCAGACCCTTTCATTAATTATCATTAATTATATCTAACTTCTGTGATGTTGTTACAAATAAGAAAACTAAAACATTGACAAGTTAAGTGATGTGCTCAGTGTTATATGTTCGGGCCAAAACTAGAACCCGTGCCTGGCCTTCCTTCCTGTGTTCACTCCCCAACTGAATCATAAATAAATAGAGCCCAGAGTTAATGTACCCCAGATATCCACTGAAGTCACATATTTCACATTCATTATATGTACACAAGGATTTCACCACAAGATGGTCAATACCACATCATTCATAATACAAAAGTCTGGAAACAACCTCATACCTAATGCCAGGAATTTGGTTAAATGAACTATTCAATACTGTGAAATATTATACAGTTATTAAAAGTGTTGTAAAAGTGTTTTTGCTAACATGGAAGACTTCATAATATAATAATAATTATTGTAGCTGTTATTTTAATAATTCTATGTATAAATGAAATGCAAAGGAAATAGTGTGGAAGGATATGCATACTGAAATAGTAGTGCTTGGAATACACATGATTTTATTGTCTTCAGATCAGTTACCTAGTTCTTCTAATTGTTCTACAGTGAAAGTGTATTTCTTGAGTACTTTGCAATGGACTAAATGTTGTGTCCACCCAAATTCATATGTTGAAATCCTATCCCCCCCACGGTGATAGTCCTGGGAGGTGGGACCTTTGGGAGGTGATTAGGCTAGGGGGTGCAGCCCCCAAGACTGGGGATGTGTGCCCTTATAAAGAGCCCCTGGAGAGCCCCCAGGCCCTCTCTCTACCACATGAGGACAGAACAAAGCACCCATCTGCCACCTTGAAGAAGCCTGTCCCCAGAACGACCCTGACCTTGGACTTCCCGCCTCTGGAACTGTGAGAAATACCAGCCTATGGTATTTTGCCAGAGCAGCCCACAGACTAAGACACACTTTTTTAAAGTTTTGATTTTAGGATTATCAGGAAACCTCAACTGGTTAAAGGACAAATGTGTGTTTACACTTGAAGTAAGTATATATCTGATACCATAGAAGTACAGCCTTAGTTTATTTTAGCTTATAATTAGCTTGTAGATTGAATAAACTCAGTTTACTTCTTTGGGGATAATAGTAAACATATTTCATAAGCTTACTGGTGTCCACTTTTAGTGAATTTCTTTTAGGAGACAGAATTAACCATANGAAATAGTAGTGCTTGGAATACACATGATTTTATTGTCTTCAGATCAGTTACCTAGTTCTTCTAATTGTTCTACAGTGAAAGTGTATTTCTTGAGTACTTTGCAATGGACTAAATGTTGTGTCCACCCAAATTCATATGTTGAAATCCTATCCCCCCCACGGTGATAGTCCTGGGAGGTGGGACCTTTGGGAGGTGATTAGGCTAGGGGGTGCAGCCCCCAAGACTGGGGATGTGTGCCCTTATAAAGAGCCCCTGGAGAGCCCCCAGGCCCTCTCTCTACCACATGAGGACAGAACAAAGCACCCATCTGCCACCTTGAAGAAGCCTGTCCCCAGAACGACCCTGACCTTGGACTTCCTGCCTCTGGAACTGTGAGAAATACCAGCCTATGGTATTTTGCCAGAGCAGCCCACAGACTAAGACACACTTTTTTAAAGTTTTGATTTTAGGATTATCAGGAAACCTCAACTGGTTAAAGGACAAATGTGTGTTTACACTTGAAGTAAGTATGTATCTGATACCATAGAAGTACAGCCTTAGTTTATTTTAGCTTATAATTAGCTTGTAGATTGAATAAACTCAGTTTACTTCTTTGGGGATAATAGTAAACATATTTCATAAGCTTACTGGTGTCCACTTTTAGTGAATTTCTTTTAGGAGACAGAATTAACCATAAACCCAAAGTACTGTTTTCATGCTTATTGTGTTAGTTTTCCCTCAGAAACTTTATATATTACTGCTCAAAAGTAAATCAGAATTACTGTATTATTTACTGGACAAGGTCACAAGACCAGAGTGGGGTCACCCCAAACTGTGCTCCCTCAGAGACAATCAAGCCTCAAAGACTTTTTAGGTCATTTGTTTGAGTCCCTTTCCAAATTTCCCCAAGCTGCTGTTCACACCCTCCCAGTCTCTCCCTGCCCGGCTACACTCCCACCCGAATGCATCTCATCAGACAAACTGGAGTCTTTGTCACGTGAGCCTGGTGGTTTTCATTCTCCATTAGCTGAGATCCTTGTTCCAGGGCTTCCTCCCGTGCAGCTCACAGGTAGGGTGGCTTGCCTGGGACAGTTCTCGTCTGTTATCCCAGCCTCATGACTAAATCCCCCCTTTCCCTCTCTACCGGGCCCTGGCTGGGACAGTAAATTTCATGGTCCCCCACAGTGATGGAGGCCCTGACAGTGGTGCTCCTCCAGTTGGGGACTTTCCTGCCCTTTTCTCTGCTTCCTGGTTTCCGCCAGTCCTTCTGCCATTCAGCAACGAAAAGTATTTCCTTCTCCCGTGAGAATTCTGTCTCTGTTACTGTTCAATCACTGGGAGATCACCCGGTGATTCTCAGACCAGTGGTCTGGCTCTGTTTCAGAGATGCTGTTGACTGCCCACCACAAAACAGTTCAAGTCTTCATTTCAGAGTCAGAGTCAAGAGAAGCAAGACCTATCCTTACAGAGAAAAAGCCAGAGTATGAGAACCAAGCCTCCTTCCCAGGTTGTTTCACCCCACGCAGTTCTGTTCAGAGGCACGTCAGACCTGCATTCTCCCGGAGTTCCCCTCAGAGTGGAAGGGACGACTGGCTGCCTTGGACACTGGCCTGTGGGCTGGCATCACAGCACATCACTCACCCTGCTCCAGGGCTCACATGCAGCCCCTGCCTCGTTTGGTTCCAGCCAGTCCGGGCTTGGCTGAGGGGACACAGCGCTGGCAGGGAGAACATGGGCCAGCGGGTGGAGGTGAAGTGACTGCCGCAGGGCACAGCCCTCACAGGAAGCAGCTCCAACGATGGTGTAAGAAGCCACCAGTGTATTTTAAAAATTAACATTTGCTTTGAAACCTTGGTGACCAGACAGGCTGTTAAACGAAGTATTCATGTGCACATGTGCTCATTCTATTCAGAATTCCAAGAGCTGATTCACAGACATGCTCAAGATGCACCTGCCAGGCACCTACCACTGTTAACCAAGCAGCAGCACCACATGGGTGGCACCTCCACTCAAAGCCTGTTGTGGTCTTGGTTCTCCCAAAGGCAAGAGATTGCCCATGCCCGTCAGGTTACAGATGCTTCGGATGATCCCTCTGTCGGCCTCTGATCAAGTTTTCCATTTTAAGTCAACGCTTAATGAAAACAACAAAAGACTTTCACTGCTTGTGCCAGATTAGAGGAACCTTACAGACCCTTGCCGTCCAGCCACCTCATTACATGGATGAGGGAACTGGGAGCTGGGAAGCCAGGGATGGGAATTGCTCGGCCGGTTAGAGACACAGCCTGAGTGTCCAGGCTTCCTGGTCTGG